CACAAGCATATGTGTGTGTGTGTGTGTGTGTGTGTGTGTGTGTGTGTGTGTGTGTGTGCGTGTTTATGTTTATGTTTATGCAGTGATGTGCTTCATTGGTGGTGTGATCAGCGGGACTCACTGCAGAGCGTGTGTTGTATAAAGTCATGCGTCAGCTCCGATGAAGCTCCATTAGGGCTCTGTTCACAGGTGCTAATTGGCTCTTGATCTCAGATCCACGGAGCCAAGCATTTGGAAAGTCTCTCGAACACAATCAGTCATGAGCGTCGGCACACGACTGAAGCAGACGCAGTGACCTCTGGCTCTCATTCACACTACAGCTAGACTGATGCTCTCTCTGATGGTGTGTTTGTGTCTGTGTTTCAGCTGGGACGGCCTACATCTTCGGCCGCGGAGGGGCCCTCATCACGTACACGTGGCCCCCGAACGACCGGCCGAGCACGAGGGCAGACCGGCTGGCCGTGGGCTTCAGCACGCAGCTGAAGGAGGCCGTTCTGGTGCGGGTGGAGAGCGCCAAGGGGCTCGGAGACTATCTGGAGCTTCACATAGTAAGAGCCAAGCCTGGGGACCGGAGGGGTGGGGTTTGAAAGAGGGGGTGTGGCATTGTGTGGAGGTGGGGCCTGAGGAGACGCACTGGGGAATGTTTGAGCGCGGGACTTACGGTGACTGGTTTATATTAGAGGGCAGGGCTGAGGGTGGGGCTTACAGTGACTAGCGTATATTAGAGGGTGGGGCTTACAGTGACTGGTGTATATTAAAGTCGGCATGAAATCAAAATTGAAAATTCTTATTTTTTAATGGAATACTGTAGTGTTTATTATAAATAATTTTTCTGTGCATTATTTTTTTTTAATTCATGTGCCCTCATAATCTTTAATCAAAAACGTTAACCTCCCCTCCCCCTCAAAACGACTCATCTTCTCTCCCGGTCACGAGCTATGGTGCAAGGGTGGAGCTAGTGACGTGAGGGAACTACAGGGGGAAAAGCTGAAGCTGATGCTTCACTTTATAGCACTGACACCAGTCATGAGGGAGTACGTTACCCCTAAACATTGAAAAGATATTAGGATAATAAGACATTAGTCTTAGCACATCGCAAAATAATTTTTTTCATGAATATGACTTAACCTGTTGGAGGACGTGCTCTGACTAGCGTATATTAGAGGGTGGGGCTTACAGTGACTGGTGTATATTAGAGGGTGGGGCTTAAATGACTAGCGTATATTAGAGGGTGGGGCTTACAGTGACTGGTGTATATTAAAGTCGGCATGAAATCAAAATTGAAAATTCTTATTTTTTAATGGAATACTGTAGTGTTTATTATAAATAATCTATCCGTGCAACCTCCCCTCCCCCTCAAAACGACTCATCTTCTCTTCCGGTCACGAGCTATGGCGCAAGGGCAGAGCTAGTGACATGAGGGGTAAACGCTGTGATAAACGAAAGGGGGAAAAGCTGAAGCTGATGCTTCACTTTATAGAAATCAATGCATTGACCAGTGCTGACGCAAGCCATGGGG